TTCATACATTGCCCAAGCGCTGCGTGACGTATCAATCAGATGCTTCACTTGTCTTTGTGTGTGTCTGTGTTTATGTGACTTTTCCTTTTAACTACTGCTAACAGGGGCGTAGAGGCCTGGTTCATCTCCTCCTCCATTCTTAACCCAACCCTGAATGATTAATGCCATGTAGTGAGAGGGAGCGCTCGGTTAGGAATCCAGGTCAGGTCAGACTAGAGGCTCATTTCCACTCCAAGGGCATGTGGTGCTTAAAGGCAAGAGACAACTCCACATATTTACCATAGGATTAAAGATGCTATTGGTCAACAAATTTTATATTGCACACAGTTAAATTATGCTCTTGTTCAGAGTCCAGCTGTACAGCCAGTAATTAATACACTGCTTAATTAGACAGGCCTCAGCATCTTATTTAGTTGTGCATGTTATACCTGTTTGCTGTAAATCACATATACTTTACTTCACAGTCAAACACGTTGGGTTTTTCTAAATTTTATCAGGAATATTTACTAGTTTGGCAGCACAGTGACGCATGGTTAGTGCTGTTGCCTCATACGTTACATTAGAGATTTGTGTAATTTGTGTTTTTGTCTATATATTTCTCTCTGGTTTGAAGCTTCAGGGTTCAGTTAAAAAATGCAGGTGCATACATGTGTGCATCAATCAGGAGTTAACTAGTTTTTAAAATCAAAATCTGAAAACAGTTGTGGGTTTCTTTGCTTATGTTGGAAATAAAACCGGAGTATTGATGAGCTTCTGAATGATAAAGGATTATTTAAAATGGTTAATACATTTCCTTTGACTATTCTTTATTAGGTCATGAATAATGAAGGTCTGCTGAATGTGAAACCACATTTCAGGAGCTCTGACAACAAATCATATGTAGCATTGCTGCCTTGTTGCTGTGCTTTGATTCCCCGTCTACCATTCAGACACACATTTGTTTTGATTCATTTCCATATGAAAAAACTTGCTTTGGATGTGATCCATGACAGTGATGAGATAACTGGTAAGTGCAGTGTGATTTATAATGTCTCTCCTGCATTGCCTCATACTGATAACGGAACAGCTTAATAGATTTTCATGCTGTGCCCAAATTAATAAAAACCAGAAAAAGTCTATCAGCATGATTTTTAGATGATTAACTATAATATAATGTATGTGTGAATTAAAGTAAATGGGCTAAAACATGCAAAACCACTGGTGTTGCCCTTTAAAACCGAGTGTGGGTACGTGCATTCCTGAAACTGTACAAAAGGTTAAAAATGCACTAACACCCTGAGTGAGCTCTGTTGTTACTTCAGCACAGCAGCTCAGAAATCACTTACATCTTTATGTCTCCATTTCTGTACATTTCTGACATCTTTCAAAGACTCAGCACTACTTCGGGAGCCTTTTAGTGTCAGCTTTGTTAAATTCCTCTGTCTCACGTCTACAGCAAACAGAAAGGCAAACGCACTAAAGCTCCCACAGGAGTCAGGGAGACGCTAAAAGAGGAAGAAAGGAAGAGTGGGGAAGGCTGCCTGGGGCATAGAAGGTGACAGGGAACAACAAACTAACAAGCATGAGACTCACCACTGGGCTCTCTGCTCCCACAAGGCACTGAGGCAGACATGGTGAAGCCCTCAATCCATGCTGGCTCTTCCTCCGACTGCATGAACTCTCCAAACTCATCTTCGTCCCTGTCTTCCTCCTCCTCGCTCCCCTCTTCAGTGGCCACGGCGGAGCCTCTATCCTCCTTGTCCTGCTCCTCCAGCTCTCGCCAGTGGTTTCTCATTTCTCCCTCACCTCCTTCTCTGTCCCTTGCAGTCACTCTGACCTCCTCACTGTCGCCCACCTCCTCCACCACCAGACAAGGTAGTCCAGTTGCCATGGATCCCAGGGGCAGCAGAGAGGGGGCAGGATTATGCAGAGAAAGGACAGGAGAGGTGGAGAGATCAGCACAGGCGACATTAGTGGCGTTAGTGCTGGTCTTTCCCTCCTCCCTCCCCTCTTCGGTGGCCACGGCGGAGCCTCTATCCTTGCCCTGCTCCTCCAGCTCTCGCCAGTGGTTTCTCATTTCTCCCTCACCTCCTTCTCTGTCCCTTGCAGTCACTCTGACCTCCTCACTGTCGCCCACCTCCTCCACCACCAGACAAGGTAGTCCAGTTGCCATGGATCCCAGGGGCAGCAGAGAGGGGGCAGGATTATGCAGAGAAAGGACAGGAGAGGTGGAGAGATCAGCACAGGCGACATTAGTGGCGTTAGTGCTGGTCTTTCCAATTGCTTTAACACCAGTGATGCTGGTTTGACCACAGGTGTCTGCATCCTCTTTCTTCCTCTTCCTGTATTCGTCTGCAGACTCCTGCAACCTCCAGTCTCCTCTTGGCGAACAGCTTCTCTTTACTTCTTTATAATCACCCTCCTGTATGGCACTAACATTCATCTCATCTTCAGTGTGTTGATCTCTGTTGTTATCAACTTTAACGCTGCCATCGTCCAGCTTGCTGCAGGTGCACTCCCTCCTCCAAAACTCCCCAGCTTCAGGATCTAGTCCATCCCCTGTAGTGGCTTCCTGATCAGACTCAGCTGTCCTACAATAGCTGCTGTTTTCTGTCTCACAGATGGAGGTATCTCCTCCTTTGTCTCCCCCATTTTTAAAGAAAAACTGAGATCTTTTCTTTTTATTTAACTCCTCATTCGCAGTGTTACTATTGTCAGCTGCAAAGTTTGGTTCCTGGGCCTCATATCTACTAACATCCGGTTCTTCTTCACCTGTGATCCAAGGGTCTGCCTCCCCTTGTTGACAGTGCTCTTCTTGGTTGCTCCCTTGCTTTTGCTGACCCCAACAAGCCTCATGTTCAGCAGTGCAGATGCTGCCCTCTACAGGAGCAGAGGACCCAGGAATGAATGCAGTGCAGGGGCAGGCAGGGCAGGTGGAGGCAGAGATGTCCTCATATGGTCCGGCCACAAACATCAGCACGCTCCATTGCTTGATTTGCTTCCCCATGATCAGAAAATCCATTTGTATTAGTCAATGTTTCTTCACAAGGACTTTCATCTGGTTTTCTATCATCAAATCCTGCGTTATGTCTTGATTTAAAGACGTCAGTCAACGGTTCAGAGCGGACATGAATGAAACCATTGTTTCCAGTATGAATTTTCATGACATCATTGTTTGTATCCGGCTCTTTCTCTGAATAGCCGCCCTTGCCGTAAGAGGTTTGGGCCTTCAGCTCCTCGTTGCTCTTGGCTTCTCTAATCCCAACAACATCAGAACCGCTCAAGGTTTCCAGGTGAAAGCAGTTAGATTCTAGTTCAGGGTTCGATGACTCACAGAGCCCTTCCTTCTCCTCCTCCTCATTCGTTTGCCTCTTCTTCATTCCCTTCACTTCAGTGTTCATGCTCAGTGGGGTGCCGCTTCTCTGAATTTCCCCTCCCTCGTGCTCCTCCTGCCTTCCCCTTCCCTGGCTCCCCCTCCCACACTGAGTGCAGGTTTTAGACAAAGCACTGTGGCAGCATGTGGAACTTCTGTAAGCTCCGTTGTCTTCCTGTTGGGCTCTCTTGCTATCCTTCTGTGGGTTAGGAAACTGTGTACTGTCCAAAACTCCTTTGTCTTGCTCTTCCTGTCTTTCTTTCAGGGTGTTTTCTCCAGCTGGATCCCCCCCACTCCTCTGTTGCCTCTCTCTGCTTACGGTTGGTTTTTCATAACCTGCTGCATTACCAGACTTCCTCCATCTCCGGCCCGATCGCACTCTAACCCGGTTTGCTCCAGTCTGTGCCGGAAGGGTTGGCCCATTGTCCCTCCTCCCGGCTGGGGTGTCTTTGCTTCCTCCTCCTACAGTCTTCCACCTTAGCCATCCTCCAACATCACTTGAGGCTGGAATGGTAGTCACACCAGAACCAGGCTTAGCTGTGGAGTACGAACAGCTCCCTTTCTCAGTCCGGAGAAAGAGGCATTGAGTCTGGGGCTTCCCACTGCCCTCAGAGGTCTTCAGGGTGGCAATCGTTACCAAAGCTCGGATCCCAGCTTGCTTGGCATCCAACCCCAGGGGAAGTCCATACTCCATGCAACCCCACTCCCCATTCAGGTACACATCTGCAGGTTTGGGACAGGAAGTCGAATTTCTGCGTCCTGCAGCAGGAGCTGTGGGGGCTGGTCTTCCTCCCAGCAGACCACCAGCCTTCCGGCGATTCTTAGAGCACAGGGCCCAGGCTCGGAGCCCCCGGATCAGTGGTAGGTCTCCCAGGCCCAGCTCCAGCCTGCTGGGGAAGGACAGCGTGGATCTGGAGCATTTCTGGAATTTCTCCCGAGTAGAGCCTGACACATTTAGGCAGGGGTAGTTATTGTTGTTATTCTGCTGGAGCATGGTGCTTGTTGTTGGCCTCATCTATGTTTTATTGGCTTATCCTCGCTTATTCTTATTTAAAATGCAGCCTGTCAGGTCAAGCTGAATTATCATTGGTGAGAGGGGATGCCACCACTATCAAGACTGTATTCTTGATTCAGAGCATGAAAGCTCAAAAGTAAAAAGATCGTAGTTTTGAAAAAATAAACTGGGCATCATGAAGTAGCTGAAATACTTTCAGAAATTTCCTATTGATTCAGTCTGACAATGGTACTTTAGAAAATATATGGTTGATGCCTCAGGAGAGATGACTCCTGCTGATCTCCTGTATAAACAACTCATTCTGACAACACAAGTTTTGGACAAAACCAGAAAAAGTCATTTGTTTTCCTCACAGCTATTTGCAGTTGTGCTTCTGTTTCCCTTTAATTCTGAGAGTCTTCAGAAGAAGAAGACAAGCGTATAGGTCAAACTTCCAGCTGTCAGCGGTGATAATAGAGAGGAGACTGAGAAGTTTGTTTTCCTCCAGACTGATGCTGAGTGACGCTGTCTTCAGAGCTTCATCGCCCTCGCTGTCGGCCGGCCTCTCATGACTGAGGACTGACTCAGCTGTCACTAAACCTGCAGGGGACTGGGACAAAACAAGGAAATTAAAGGCAAATATGTGAAGTGTGCTCTAAAGAAACAGCAAACGTAGCAGATAATTGTTTGTTAAACTAGTAAGGATCATGCAGGGAGGAGACACAATCCAGCCTTTTATTTATTCTTATTATTGTCTGATGAATAAGAAAGCAGTTAGAGCAAGGTAGATCTAATAAAACTAAATGAAAACACAAAAGGAAAATGTTTCATTTCCAGCAACTCAATGCAGATGATCTAGTTTCACTTTAGTCTGGCTCACTGGATCACAGCTATCTGGCTTGTGGGGGTGTGAGACTGTCAAAGGTCACACATTTGAATCCAAGTGGCTTCTTTTCATTCTACTCCCACACAAACAGCTTTATTATTTATCTTTTTTTAAATGCATTAACACCATGTCCACCCTGGTACAAATTCTTTAGTTGTATCATGAGCTCTATACATCATCAAATGGACTGAAAACGAAACACAGGTGCCCATAAACCCGTGAATCCAGCCCTCATGAACACTCAGCTTGAAGAATTTGCCCAAAGTGACTCAACACACCGCCACATAAGCGGCATAAACACTGTAGGTCTGGGCCACGCATATCACACCTCCTCATCTCAGCAGGCTGTGTACCATTATGATGATGAAGAACTACGTCAAACCACACTGTACCAGCAAAACCAGTATCCACTGCCAACATGTCCTGAAAGGGACGCCTGCTAAAAAAAGCTTTTATTATTTCTCACCTCATTCGATGTCTCAGTGCCTCATGCCCAGGTTATGATTAAGTGTCTCTCTGCTCCGTTACTGTTTACGGGCGAAGCCTATTCGACCCTCCTCGGACTCCGGAGCATCCTTTACTGGGATCGGCGCCACCACATCATTCCAGTCGGCCTACACCACTGGCGCTGCAAATCATTCACACACTTCTGCCCGGGTGTTTAAATTACAGCCAAATACAACAATGGGTCTGTGTTCGGTCTCCCCCCGGACTCGTTCGGCCGCTGCGCATCCTCTCATCCACCGCGACTCCGTATCGTGCTTCGCCGCATCTTACCGCAGTGGCCTCCGGTGCGCTCACGATGACGGAGAGCTAATTTGACTTGCTGCCCACTCACCGATAGGAGTGATTCGTACCACACAGAGGCAGGGAGAGATTGGGCAAGCGGAAGTGTATGGGGGGTGATTGATGCCACACTGAAAAAAACGATGAGATGTCACACCACTGATAAAGTAATGCATAAATAGTAATTAGAGAAAGCACACGCTGTAATGTGTTTAGACCAGGGTCTTTTCAGCTGATTGTGACCCAGGGACCACCATTCTGACTAAGAAGCAATTTGAGGACCATTGCTGTGGGGTGGCTGAACCAGATGGGCACTATTTTAATCCTAAGAAAACATCTTGTTTTTTTTCTGTTTTATATATATGAATAATTTGGTTTGTCACAAACAGTAATTAATAAATGGGAATGTGTTGAAAAAGAAAAAGCAGTGATGCCCCAAGTGAAACTACTTACTGAAAACATGGCCAGGGAACAGCAGCCTTCACCGACCACCAGGGGGTTGGGGGACTGCTGCTCTACCCACCACACCACTGTCGCCTCCCATTTAGAGCAACACTAGTGTTTACACTCTGATAGTGTGATAAAACAGGATGCAATAGACCAAACTGACATTTGTTCGGTTTGAAAAAACACATGGGGCTGCATGTGTTTCATGTACTGATGAGACAATGACATATGATCCAGGAATTCCAGTTGAAGGAACAGATTAAGATTTTCTTAGATGTCAAAACAATCCTCAGACAGCATTATACTACTCTGGAAAGTTATCCCAGCACACTATTATCTTTTGTTGTGATGATTTCGAGGTAAACAGCAGAAATACAGTACAAGATAATCCAGCAGTACTTCACACCTGTATGTGGTGATGGCTGATCGAGGCTTTGTTGTGAAGCTTCCTCACAGTATTCACAAAAATGGTTCATTACTCGAGGCTTCAATGACACAGTGCTCAAGTAGGACATCTAGTGGTCAATAAAATGAGGTGCAATCAAGACGTGTCATTGGTTCATGGATTGTTTGGGATTTGATTCACGGTGCACATTCCTGTTCGACCACACTACATGGCTGTATGGTTTCAAGCTGACACAGCAAAATATAAAATAAACATGGACTCATGTTGAAGACCATGTGTCTTATTTGGCATGTCTGATTGTAACCCCATTTGTGTTATGAAACATTTAAATGGTGCTGCTACATTCATGAGATGTGCTCTACAAATTCAGACAGATGTCATTTTCCCATGGGACTGGTGCAAATACAAAATATATTACAGGCTTTGGCACAGTACACTGCAAAAAATTGGGAGTGAAATTTACTTGAAAAAACCTAGGCAACTTTTTCCACGCAGAAATTCTAAGTAAATTTTACATGGGATAATCCCAAGTAAATTGTACTTAAAGACACAGAGTAGTTTCTATAGATGTATTCAAGTAAACTTTACTTGAAATTTTCTGTTACTGGTACTAAATCTTACTCATTCTTTCTTAGTAATTTTTTTTAGAATGCATTTGCATAAATACTTGCTTTTGTTCACTTTTATTTCAGTTATATTTAAGTAATGTTTACTTAAAATTGAGTTATAATTTATAATGATAAAAATAAGCCTTTTTAAAAACAAAAAAACACCAACATAAAAAAGACAGACTTCAACAAGCAGATTCTTTATTATGTGCTATAAGCTTCCAACTAACACCTTAACTCACAACATACACAGACAACACAGCACCTAAAATGATTTGTTATCATGTCTTTTAATGGTTAGTGTATTGGAACAGAAAACAGGCCACTGAATAGCATGATCACCTACACAAAACCATGCAGCCAAAGTACCTTTTGGAACAGTTTCAGCTTACAATGAGTAAATGTAGTTTACAAAGTCATTTGCCATCTGGGGCCAATTCCCTTTATCTCAACATTTGTAAAAACATTTAACACTTCAAGAGAACTTCACCTTCAGTACATCTTCAGTACAATGTACGAAAACATTTTCTTGTTGCCTTAAAGTGAAAAGGCTTTGAAAGAGAATAGGACATAAATCACTCACATAACTTGTTTTTAATTTTAAACCATTAAGTAAACCCAGGAATGTATACTCATGCTAGAAGTTTTTTCTGCAAAGACTGGACTTTGGGAGACATCTTAAGGACATCAAGCTCAAGAAAGAGCTTCTGAAACACTTCAAATGTGTATTTCAGTTTTGGTGGGAAGCTTAGGTTCATAGCGTAGACAAAGGCCATGAGCAGAAGGCAAGCCTTTGCCACATATCTACAGTTATCAAGAACCTCAGTTCCATCGATGATGATCGACACATCAGCAGGAGTAGGGCCTTCGGTTGCAGCACTTTCATGGATGGCAAAGATCAGCAGCGGATGACAGCACCTCGGTTTACCTTCCACATGCTGCTGTTTCAACTGGTAGAAAAGATTTTGCAAAGAACATTATTGTACATAACTAAGCTGCATATAGAAATAAAGCAACATAATTTTTAGGTCAGTCAATGGAGTCTGCTACAAAACTAACCAGAGAATTTTAGGACTACTAAACAAAACATATGAAAGCAGTGAGGGAAAACATATACAGTATCACTGACTTGTCAAAAAAAGGACTGAAGTATCCATGATCAGGAGTTCTAAATGGTTGTTTAAAAAATCTGTAAAGATTATTTCAGTTCTCTCTTCTCATTAAAGAATTACATTTTATCTGACTGAGTGACTCTAGTATGGGCCTTATCTTCGTGCCTGCAACGCCTGCCTCTCTTTGTCTTAAATATCTCCAGAAATTTGGTGGTGTCGAGGTCCAGTTTTGAGAAAAAGGTCCACCCCAGATGTATTGCTGTTATCCTTCTGAACTCTTCTTTGATCTGAAACAAAAGGTGATAAAACACAATAATCTAATAATGAAAGCATCCAAGGTGGTGAACACTTTTTATAGATACTGCAGATTCTCCTTCTTGAAGGTGACAATGTACAGTTTGGTTCAAACCATTTCAGAGAGGTGTTATATGCTCAGGCAGCAGGATGTGAGCTGTACTGCTGTTGAACTGTAATGCAATAAAATAAATTGCATCCTGTAAAATGACCATCAAGTTGAAATAACACCTCTCTAAAGCAATTTAAAAAAAAAAACTCACCATAGCCTCAGTGAATGTAGAAGGTCTAGGGCTGTATTAGCAAGGAGTATCAAATAAACTGGGGGATTGAGTGCACTTTACTAATTATCTTGCAACCTGTACACAACAATCACAGCATCAGCTGATGAAACAAAGGACCACATGTACCTGAGCTTCACTTAACAGAGCATCTCTCAGTGAAGTCTTGGACAGCAGGGCAATGCTTGACCACTTCTAGTCTTTGATAGAAGGATTTCTCATATGAAGAAACGACTCTTGCAAAAACACTATTCTCCCACTGATACACACGTTTGAATTTGAAAAGAAAGCGAGTAATTACTTATTTTGGGTGAGATCCTAAAAGGAGAGACGTTAACAATGCAGCCCACAGAGCAAATAATTATGGTAAAATAACTTCACAATACGAAGCTAACTTTACAGCACACACTTGACAATTTTCTCTGCTGACTGGCAGCAGAGACAGAGCCAGACTGGAAATATGTAAATGTGATAAGCCATAATATGTAATGTGACAAGCCATTGAGACAGATCATAATCAGTTGTATAGCAGTTAAGTGTGTGCTGGCTTTCGGAAAGTGCGCCACCAATATGCCACTGAAATAATTAAGCAACGTTATATTTTCCTTATATACAGGTCTTTAACCACAAAGGTAACGAACTGCCGTTAGCTTATTGGTAGCTTATTTTGGGTCAAGTGCATGAAATTAGCCCGCTTGCTAGCTAATGTTGAGCACTAACGCTACATCGAATAACAATGTTAAGTAGTGATTAACCAAACGGTGACTTTAGTTGACAAGCTACCAGAACAGTAAAATAACCAAGAACACAAACATACTTACCTTCTCCTTACCTTACCCTAATATTACTTGTTATTGTCATACAAACTTTACTTGTATAAACGATTATACAAAATTACATACAAACATCAAGTATCATATTAAATTTGAGGTGAAATTCTGAATTAAATTTACAAACAC